CCGGCACTGAATCAGACTTAGATGCCTCCCGGGAGGGTATATACTCACTTCCCTCTGAATGGGAAACAACACTATCTGCAGCCTTGATTTGTTTTCTTATTTCTCCCATTGCTTTCCAGACTTGGGAGGTCAATTTGATCATACCTCGTCCCCTACCCCGGGAGGACTCTCCTTTTTCTTTTGTTTATCACTACCGCCTCGTGATTTAACCATTGTCTGCAAGGAGAATTCATTTAGAGTTTGTTAGTATCACAGTACCAAGAGAAACAGTGAAGAATATAATTAAAGACAGCTTACTGCGGACCGCATAAAAAGCATTGCGGCCGCAAATGAACCACCGCGGTCTGCACAAAATGGCACCGCGGTCCGCAGTGAAGTGGGGTTCAGAATACCCACTCTCTGATTCAGGTAACCACGGATCACAAGAAATATTATGCGGCCGCGGTAGGACACCGCGGACCGCGGAAAATCCACCGCGGTCGCGGTAAGCTTAGCTCAGCAACACCAACCTAGGGATTCAATATTTTTCATATTTTTAGCATAAATTCGCATATTATCAACCCCCCAGGTAGTTAATCATCATTTTAAACTAATTATACCCTGATCTAAACAGCATTATGTAACCCTACGCTACAAATTGAAAGAAAAGGGAAGAAAAAAAAGTACAAACTAACGAATTAAAATAGAATAAAATAAAATTAAAGACTAGGAAAAGATTTGAAGTACCAGAGATGAGATGCACACAGATGATCAAGAAACAGTGCTTGAATTCGTGCAAGGGTAGTGATGAACAATACTTTTTTTACTATTTAGAGAGCAAATGAGCGAAAAGTGTAAATGAGGGCCCGAGGTCCTATTTATAGAAAAAGGACCTGGGACCCACGATACCTACCCACTGCGGACCGCACAAAATGCACCGCAGTCCGTGGTACTTAAACACATGAAGCACTGGGGAGGAAGTCACTGTGGACCGCAGAAAATGCTCCGCGGCCGCGGTAGGGTACCGCGGACCGCATAAAATGCATTACGGCCGCAGTGACAACTTCAGAGAACCCCCACTTTTGGCCATTCAACACTGCAGACCGCAATGAAATTTTGCCCCCGCAAAGAGGCCATTGCAGCCGCAGAAAATGCAATGCGGCAGCGGTCCCAACTTCAGAGAGTGCAACATTTTTCCAATTCGGTCCTGCACTGCATCAAAACAACCCTACACACATCTCACATCTAGTTAGTCCAAAAGCAAATCCTACACTAAAAAGAAAATCAAAGAAAAACAAAAAGAAAGACACATGGGTTGCCTCCCAAGAAGCGCCTGATTTAACGTCGCGGCACGACGCAGGTTACCATCAAATCACTTTAGATTGATCATTGCCACCACGTGGCTGTCATCAATCTTGCCAAGATAGTTCTTGACTCTGTGCCCATTAACTCTGAAGATCTCTCCATTTTTGTTTTTCAAGTCAAGTGCACCAAGTCACAAGCACCACTTCAAAAGGTCCACTCCATTTTGACTTAAGCTTTCCCGGAAATAGATGTAACCAAGAATTGAACAAGAGAACCAAATCACCACTTTGAACTCCTTGCTACGAGCATACTTGTCATGAAGGTACTTCATCTTGTCCTTGTACAAGGACGAACTGGAGTAGGCATGGAATCGAAATTCATCAAGTTCATTTAGCTGCTCCACACGAAGATTTGCTGCCACATCCCGTTCAAGATTTAGCTTCCTCAAAGTCCACATGGACTTGTGCTCGAACTCGACCGGTAGATGGCAAGCTTTCCCAAACACCAACCGGTACGGAGACGTACCAATCAGAGTCTTGTAAGCAGTCTATAAGCCCATAGAGCATCATCCATTTCTTTGACCAATCGGTCCTATTTGCATTGACCGTCTTTGACAATATACTCTTGATTTTCCTGTTTGATACTTCAACTTGGCCACTCACCTGAGGATGATAAGGAGTAGAAACTTTGTGATTGACACCATACTTTGCAAGCAAAGTGTCAAAAAGCTCTATTGCAAAAATGAGACCCCCCATCACTTATTATTGCTCACGGGGTGCCAAACCTAGTAAAAATACTCTTCGTGAGAAACGCAACAACATTTTAGACCTCATTATTGGTAAAGCCACGGCCTCAACCCACTTTGAAACATAGTCAACTGCCATTAGAATGTATTTGTTGCCACATGAACTAACAAACGGGCCCATGAAATCAATGCCCCACACATCAAAAATATCAACTTCGAGAATAGTGTTGAGAGGCATCTCATCCTTCTTCGAAATTCCACCCGCTCTTTGACATTCGTCTCATCTCTTTACAAGTTCACTTGCATCCTTGTACAAAGTTGGCCAGTAAAACCCACAACTAAGAACCTTTGAAGCTATCCTCGCCCCACCATGATGACCACCATAGGGAGAGGAATGACAAGCCTCTAAGATACTCAATTGCTCCCCCTCCGGGACACACTTCCGGATCATACCGTCAGTGAAGATCTTGAACAAGTATGGCTCATCCCGAAAGAAGTCCAAACTATCCCATTTAAGCTTCTTCCTTTGGTTAGAAGAGAGCTCACACGGGACAATACCAGTCACAAGAAAATTAGCAACGTCCGCAAACCATGGCATACCATTCACCGACACAGAAAGGATTTGCTCATCGGGAAATGAATCATTGATTTCTAGGACATCGCAAGGCCTCCCCTCCTCCTCCAAGCGGGACAAGTGGTCAGCCACTTGGTTTTCACACCCTTTTCGGTCCACAATCTCCAAATCAAACTCTTGAAGTAACAAGACCCATCGCATCAACCTAGATTAGGAATCCTTCTTCGTCATCAAGTATCGGAGTGCGGCATGATCGGTATGAACTATGACCTTGGCTCCCATGAGATACGGCCGAAATTTCTCCATTGCGAACACAATAGCCAACAACTCTTTTTCAGTCACCGTGTAATTCACTTGTGCATCATTCATTGTCTTGCTTGCATAATACACCGGGTGAAACATTTTATTCACTCTTTGACCCAAGACCGCCCCAACCGCAACATCACTCGCATCACACATGAGCTCGAAAGGCAAGCTCCAATTGGGTGCGGTAATAATAGGAGTGGTGGTCAAATTGTACTTGAGGAGTTCAAAAGCTGTCATGTATTCCTCATTGAACACGAACTTTGCATCCTTTTCCAAAAGTTTGCACAAAGGATTCACTACCTTGAACAAGTCTTTGATAAATCCCCAGTAGAATCCCGCATGCCCAAGAAAACTTCTAACCCCCTTGACAGAAGTAGGGGGAGGGAGCCTTGAAATCACCTGAATTTTAGCTTTGTCCACCTCTATACCGTGCTTTGAGATTTTATGGCCAAGGACTATGCCCTCCTCAACCATGAAGTGGCATTTTTCCCAGTTGAGCACAAGATTGGTTTCTTCACACCGGGCCAACACCCTATCAAGATTCTTCAAACATTCATCAAATGAGTCACCCACAACACTGAAGTCGTCCATGAACACATCCAAAATGTCTTCCACCATGTCGGTAAATATGGCTATCATACACTGCTGGAATGTAGCCGGTGCATTACACAACCCGAATGGCATCCTAGAAAAGGCAAAGGTACCATATGGGCAAGTGAAGGTGGTCTTCTCCTGATCTTCCGGAGCAATCAAAATTTGGTTGTACCCAGAATACCCATCCAAGAAACAGTAGAAGTCTCGCCCAGCAAGTCTATCTAGCATCTAGTAATGAAAAGGCAATGGAAAGTGATCCTTGCGGGTCACTTTGTTCAACTTGCGGTAATCCATGCACACCCTCCATCCGGTGACAGTTCTGGTAGGAATCAACTCATTCTGTGCATTGGTAACCACGGTCATACCACCCTTCTTTGGCACACATTGCACCGGCGAAGTCCAAGAACTATCAGAGATGGGGTACACAACCCCGGCATCCAACCACTTGATCACCTCCTTTTTCACAACTTCTTGCATTGCCTCGTTCAACCTCCTTTGATGTTCCNCAATTAGTCGTCTGAAAATAAAAGCTGAATATAACTGAAAGCAGAAGTAAAGTGCAGGAATTAAAGACTCCCAAATTTTATACTAATTCAGATTTAATGTGAATCATACTCCAGTACCCTTGGGTTGCAAGGTTGTTTTCTCTTCAAAGCTCCTTGATTAGTTTCGTATAATTGTGTTGATGTTATCTCCAAACACCAACTCACTTTTGTATCTAAGTACGCTCGTGGTATTTTCGATACAATGCCTCGCCAATGTTTTTCTCTCTTTCTTTTCTCTACTGATTATACGGTAAACTTTGCTAAGATTACAAAGCTTGTTTAGAGTAGAATAAAGAGTACGAAGTTGGTATGATTAAACTATATTTCTTCAAGACTGGTACAGATGTATATATATACTTCGTGAGGTCTTCTTGTCTCTTGATTGACGTGAATCTTGAGAGATTGCAAACTAAGGGATTTGATCCTTGAAAGGGATCGTAGAGTGATTCTTTCCAAGAATAAGATTTTACTTATGTTGATTTGATTCCAGCTTTTAATTGTCTTCCTTTGATAGAGGAATCTTCAGTGCATAGTTTCACAATCTTGACTTCCTTTAATTTATGTCCTTCCTATAATATCCTCCATTAATCTGCTGCCAAATCCTTGATTGATTTTTCCTTCGAATTTCCGCTACTCCTTCCTTTTTCGTCTCTAATCTTTCGATACATCCTTTTTCTTGCTTTAGGAGTGTTTTCTGTCACTATAGAAGAATTGNGTCATAATGCACCATGTGAAGCTATTCGTAACCTCAAACCGTTGAACTGAATGTAAATGCTCAAAATGACAATTGGGTTGTTACAAAAAATATGTTTTTGAAAAGTACTTTTGAGAAATTTAAAGCTAAATCTTTTGTTAAACTGAATAATACTGCAATATTAATTATTTGTTTTTGCACACATGATAGACATGGATGGTGTGTCTAGATGACAATATAAGTTAAAATGAAATAATATTAGAGCTGAGCCATTTGTTGGACATTCATGGGATAACAATCATGTAAGGACCCTGAATATGCCTTCCTAGCAAGAATTTGATTCACAGCTTGTGTTGGATGGAAGGCATCCCAAAAGAGGTATTGATCTCTGTTGAAGCAAGGCACTGCCAATGGAAGACATGTTATTAGCCTCCCAACGCCACAACATCCTCTGTCCTTTACTTCAAACCCTGCAACGCCACAACCATGAGAATTAATAGCACCATTCTTTCTCTAATAATGGATATTTTTGATCTCTATTGGATGTTTTTGATCTTACCATAAACAGAGGCATTGTTGAATATCTCGATAAATCCTCCAAAAGTATTGCCGTAAATAAAGATGGAGTTAGGGTTATCTTTGTTTAGTTGATCAACAAGAAACCTAAGTTGTGAATTAAACATCCTAATCATTTCATTCACAATAGAGACACACTTTCCTGGTGGAGCAAGACCAGTTCCAACTTGGCTAGGGATACAACCCAGTGGTCCAATTGCTCCCAATAAAAACTTCCTTAGTCCTATACCATGAAGTGCCTGCAAATAATGGACAAATTAAACTCAGAAGTAAACCCTAAAGTAATTTTTTTTTGATAAAGAGGGGTTAGTACGTATTACCAAGATTTGCCTAGAGTAATGCTTTATGAGGAGATCAGCATAATCTCTAGGCTTGTAATTGGAACTCGTTGTGTACAATGAAGGTTGCAAATAGTTGTTGATGTAGTCATTGTTGCCAAGATTCATTACAACCAATGACTTTGCAAGATAATAGCTCAAGTCTTGATCTTCCATCTGCTGTTTTAGTTGATTCAAGGTATCTTCGAAATTTTGAATCTGTTGATTCAAGCTGAACCTTTCTCCCTAGTAAAAAACATCTAATGTTATAAGCTATAGGAGAAGAATTCATTTACGATTTCTTTTTGAATTTTAAGTATTAAGAGTTAGCTCACTTTGACGAGTATTGATCATCACCTAATTTCGTACGTACAAAATATTTTCATCATCACTCTATCATCTTGTTTAAAAGTTTATTACAAGTAGCATGCCATATGAAGTGTAGGTTAGAAACCTAGAAGATATAATAATTAGCCTATTACAATTAATTAAATTACATTTGTAGTATAAGATTCTTTTGTTTCTTTTTTTACAATTGCAGTGGATATAATTATAGCCTGTTTGGCCAAACTTCTCTAAATTCAAAAGTACTCTCTTTTTCTTCAAAAAAATATTTTTTTTTCAAAGTTGAAGTGTTTGGCCAAACTTTTAGAAGAAAAAAAGTACTTTTGAGTAGAAAGAAGAAATTTTGGAGAAGCAGAAAACTATAGCTTCTCCCCAAAAATACTTTTTTGAAAAATACTTTTAAGAAAAATAGACTTAGAAGTACTAATTGCTGCTCAGAAGTACTTTTCAAATTAATTAGTTAAATACAAACTGGTTCTCACCAAAAGTACTTTTGAAAAAAATACTTTTGAAAAAAAACACTCCTCAAAATAATCTTATTTTTAAAGCTTAGCCAAACTGGCTATTAAACTCATAAAAGAAACTATAAAAGAAAGGTTCAAGGTAAAGATTGATGACAAATTATACAAGACTTTTGCCTGTCTCGTCAAGAATTCCGGCTGCAGCTGAAGCATAGTTCACTCCTTTCGAAATATCACTGCCCATGGTGATAGTAGCTGTATAAGCTGGAATTAGAGGAAGTCCTAGCAGATCACCTACAAATTTTAACAAGATTAATTGTAGATGAATGTAACAGAGAAAAATATGAGCAAATCCAAATTATTACCTAAATAATCTATCATGGTTCTTCCATTGCAAAATCTCCCTGTGGGTCCTATAAAATCAACTCCATATGGTACATAATTAGCCTTTGCCAAAGAGTTTGGGAGATAATTATTATTTCCAGGATCTATAAGTGAATCCCCAAAGGCGAATAAAGCTGTAAACTGTGGCACTGCATTAATGGCTTCTTGAATGGAAAGAACAACAAGGAAAAGAACATTCCATGTCATAAACTGGCTCTCCATTGTGTTTTCTTTTATCCTATCCAATGCGTTAACTTCTGATGCTTTGCTATTAAAGAACAATTGTTTCTACTTTCTTGCTTTAGGTTAACCATTTTTCCCTTCTTTCCTCCCTATATTCTTGCATGTTTTTCGATTCACTTTTATTTCTGTTATATTTTGCTTATTATCTTCTTTTTTTGCCATTTGTTTGATGTTGTCCAGACTTAGTTGTATTTCTCCTATGGGTGCCTACATTCCCATGCCATATCAATGTTATGGTATTTATATGCTGAAATGTGCTAGTTGAAAATTCGTCCATAATTTGAAAGAAAATTCTTGATTGTTTGGGATGTGTAAGTTGTAGGAATAGTGTGAGCTTGCCACCTTTTTCTGACGATCCGATAGGTTGTTTTGAGTACTAGCCCTTATTTTCGTATTTCGAGACCTCTATTAGCTCCACTATTTCTCGATTTGTGTGCGTCAGTCCGTGTCTTTTTTTTTTCCGAAAAGATTTTATGTGAAAATTTGAAGTAAAATATGATTTTTGGCTTTAAAAATAACTTGAGTTGACTACGGTCAATATTTTGTGTAAACGACTCCGGATCGGTATTTTGACGACTCCAGTGGGTCCGTATCGTAATTTTGAACTTTGACGTATGTCCGAAATTGAATTCGGAAGTCCCTAACTTGACTTGACTTGTTTTGTCGAAAGTTAGTAACATGAAACTTCAAATATTTCCTAGGTTTGATCATAGGTTGACTTTATGGCTACCGAGTTTGGGTTTTGATTTCGGGACTTGGTATAGGTCTGTTCTGCTATTTGAAACATATCTACAAAATTTGGTGCAAATCAGAGTTGGTTTGATAGGATTCTCATGTGTGATGACCTGAAAGGTCATCTTATGTTTTAGAACTCGATTCCGTATTATGAAGCCTTTAAAACCGCATTTTATTCCTCCTCGATTTGCGTGCGCAGTCGGGAGTGTTTTCGAAAAACTTTTATATTGAAAGTTGATAAAAATAATAATTTTGCCTTCCAAAGTTGATTTAGTTAGATTTCGGTCAATGTTTTGAGTAAACGGACTCGGACTCGTATTTTGACAGTCCCGGTGGGTCCGTATCAAAATATGGAATCTGGGCGTACGCCTGGAATTGAATTCTGAGGTTCCTAGCTTGAGAAATGAATTTTTGATGAAAATTGAAAGTCTGAAAATTAAATGGTTTTAAGAATTTGGTTAATGTTTGATCTCGTTAGTATCGGGTCCGTATTTTGGTTCCGGAGCCCGGTACAGGTTCATTATGATATTTAAGACTGGTCTGTGAATTTTGGTGAGAAACAAAGTTGGTTTAACGTGATTCGGACGTCCAGTTGAGAAAATAGAAATTTTAAAGTGTTCTTGAGAATTTCATTTGATTTGGTGCTAAATTCGTAGTTCTAGGTGTTATTTTGGCGATTTGATCGCGCGAAAAAGTTCGTATGATGTTTTAAGAGTTGTGTGCATGTTTGGTTTGGAGCCCAGAGGGCTCGGGTAAGTTTCGGATATGCCACAGAGTGAAAATTTGACTTAGAGCATTGCTGGTTCTGCAATTTCTATGACTGGTGTCTGATCTCGCATTTGCGAGATCAGTGTTAGCATTTGCGAACATTCCCCATGCTGGAAGGCTCGCAATTGCGAGCAAATTCTTCGCATTTGCGAAGTGTACCTGGGCCAGCACTAGTTCGCATTTGCGATCTGGAGGTCGCATTTGCGGGGAGCCACTTTTCGCATTTGCGGACAAATCTTCGCAATTGCAAAGTGGGAAATGGGCAACAGTGATCGCAAGTGCGATCAATTGGTCACATTTGCGGAAGGAACACAGTTTGCATTTGCGAACTATTTTTCGCAAATGCGATGAAGACAGGAATGTGAAACCTTCGCATTTGCGGGGCTTGCATTTGCAAACCCCTGCAACTGATCAAAACTTAAGTTTGACGGGATTTTCTCCCATTCTCCACATTTTTCAAATTCTAGAACCCTAAGGCGATTCTCCCAAGACCAATTCTTCCCCAAAACTTTTGTAAGTGCTCCTAACCCACTTTCTTTCAATTACCCATTACATTTCACGAATTTTCAACCTAAATTCTAGGGCTTTCATGGTAGAAATTGGGGGTTTGGGTAGAATTAGGGATTTTTGCATAATTGGGATTTAGGCCTCAAATTGGGGTCAGATTTCAAAACTAATTACATATTCGGGATCGGGGGTGAATGGGTTTCGGTCCGAACCTCGAGTTTTGACCAAGCGGGCCCGGGGTCGATTTTTTACTTTTTGGGGGAAATGTTGGGAAACCTAAATTTATGTATTGAAATTGATTCCTTTAGCAATATTTGGTGTTATTAAGCTAATTATGGCTAGATACGAGTGGTTTGGAGGTGGAATCTAGAGGCAAAGCGGTAATTATGTACAAGCTTTCTGTTTGCTTTGGTTTGAGGTTTAAATATTATGAAGAGTTTTGAGTTAAATTCTGAAATTTCTGTACTTATTGAGTAATTGTTGCTAATATGGTGGGATCGGGTTGCGCGCCGCAACAGGAGGAATAAGGGTGATATATTGAGGAGGAATAAGAGTGAAATACTATTATACGGTGGGATTAGGTTGCACGCCGCAACAGGAGGAATAAGGGTGGATTGATATGGAGTAATAAGGGTGAATATTCATATTGATATTGATATATGGTGGAATCGGGATGCGCGTCGCATCAGTTTATGTGTTTATGTATCTTTCTTCTACTGTGTAAGCTATTGGGTAGCTTTGCATTTCACTTAAGGATTGGTTATAGCTGGATACTGATAAGACACTTGAGTTCTGTATTCATTCCATGCAAGTTACTGCTTTTTTTGCCTTGTCCTTCTTTCTACTTTTATTATACACTATATGCAGGTTATATTGTAATTTCCCCGGCGTAGCCTCGTCACTACCTTGTCGAGGTTAGGCTCGGCATTTACCTGTACACGGGGTCGGTCGTACTGATACTGCAATCTGCACCTTCTATACAGATTTTGGAGCAGGTAGTGGCTGATCGAGAGGTCGGGTGCAAATATTTTTAGCTAGGAGATCAAGGTAGTCCTGCTGGCGTCTCCTTCTATGCTCCTACATTTACTGTTTTTATTTCCCTTCATAAACAGTTATATCTTCTTTGGAACAAATGTTTGTAGCAAATCTTAGTGTGCTCGTGGATTGTGACACCGGATTCTGAGTAGTAATAGCAATAGTATTGGTAATAGTATATAAACAGAGAGGCTATTTACTTACTTTCGTATTTATTTCTACTTGCTTTAGCTTGTTTACTTTTAATCACTAAAACGTAAAGGTAATTGGTTAATAAAACTCTAACGTTGGCTTGCCTAGCAAGTGTGATGTTAGGCGCCATCACGGTCCCGATGGTAGGAATTCCAGGTCGTGACAAGTTGGTATCAGAGCACTAGGTTGCCTAGGTCTCACAATTCACGAGCAAACTTAGTAGAGTCTGGAGGATCGGTATGGAGACGTCTGTACTTATCTTCCAGAGGCTATGGAGTTAGAAACAGTTTCACTTCTATTCTTCTCTGTCGTGCGAATTTGTTCTCTCGTTGCTAATTGAACTCTTCTACTCTTGTTCTCTCGCGGACGGTGAGAACACGTACTGCATCTTCAGCCGGGTTTTATGGCACAAACCGGTGATGGATCAGTTATGTCCTCTGAGGCTTTATGGAGATTGGATAGGTTTACCAAGCTTTTCCTAGTTTTCAGCGGTGCATATTCAGAGGATCCCCAGGATTATCTATACAGTTTTCATGAGGTGTTACGGAATATGGGGATAGTGGAGACCAATGGGATCGACTTTGCTGCATTTCATTTGTCGGGTTCCGCCAAGAAATGGTGGAGAGATTATTTGTTGACCAGACCAGCTGGTTCGCCTGCTCTTACTTGGGACCAATTCTCTCAGATATTTCTTGAGAAGTTTCTTCCTGTTACACTGAGACTGGACTATCACAGGCAGTTCGAGCATCTCAAGCAGGGTAGTATGACCGTCACTCAGTATGAGACCCGCTTTATTGATTTGGCCCGTCACGCTCTTCTTATACTTCCTACCGAGAGAGGGTGAAGAGGTTTATTGAGGTACTTGCTCATCCTATTAGATTGTAGATGGCTAAGGAGACTGGGAGTGAGATTTCTTTCCAGGATGCAGCCAATGTTGTCAGACTAGTTGAGATGGTTCTAGCTCAGGGGAGTGGTCAGGGGTCTGACAAGAGGCCACGTCACTCCAGTGGATTTAGTGGGGCATCATCTGGCATTCCATTCAGCACAGGCATCCTCCCAGGCCGTTTCATTCAGCACTTCAAGCATCTCATGGGGCTTCAGGGAGTCGTGGTCTTTATGTACCTTCTCCGGGGCAGCCAGCTTATAGTGCACCACCAGCTCTTATCAGAGCACCTACTTTTTAGAGTTATTATCACGGTCAGTCGGCTCGTCCGGGTCAGTCTCAGTTTCCACAGCCACAGTATCAGGATGGATGTTTCGAGTGTGGTGATTATAGGCATATCTGGAGGACCTGTTCGAGATTAGTGGGCGTTCCGCCATACCAACAGGGTTCTCGTGCAATGATTCTGGCACCGGGCGCACTATCGCCCGCTCAGCTAGCTAGAGGTAGGGCTCAGGGAGCCAGAGGTATAGGTCAGGCCGTTAGAGGTGGAGGCTAGCCAGCAGAAGGCCGTCCCAGAGATGTGGTTCAGAGTGGTAGGGCCCAGCCCCGATGTTATGCTTTCCCAGCTAAACCTGAGGCTGAGTCATCCGATGCTGTTATCACAGGTACTGTTTCAGTTTGCAGTAGATATGCTTTAGTTCTATTTGATCCAGGGTCTACATACTCCTTTGTGTCATCTTACTTTGCTTCATATTTGGTTGTGACTCGTGATTCTTTGAGTGCTCCCGTGTATGTGTCCACATAGGTGGAGGATTCTATTGTTAAGGATCATGTCTATCGCTCGTGTGTGGTTATTATT